GCTTCTGATACTTAAAATAACTTTTCTCCTCACATATTCTTATGCTGAAATTTGTGAGGCAATATCACTTTCCAACAAAAACAGTGTATTTAAAAACAAAAACAGTGTAAGTAACTTAACAGTGCTACGTCTTTCTGTATAAATACTTTGTCCTCACAAAGGAAGTTACTTTAGGTTTTATGTCCATGAACTTGCAAGAAATTTGGTTTAACATTTACTCCTATGATCCTAGGAAGCCCAATAAGGTGATAAGTACCACAATTTAGTTTTGATAAAATACTTCTGTATTAGAAAGAAAGTTAGCCATGAAGTGGATTGAATAGACAGGCTTCCACTAAGCCCCCTTATCCCCTAAGTTCCGAGCCATCCCTGCACTGAGTGAAGTGGGATTGTTTCCATTTATTTCTACTGTATCACAGTTAGAAGTATATCTTCAAACCTCTCTCAAATATTTCAAGAGCCAGAAGCTATTTCATCCCAAGAATTTTTTCTTTCACAGAACAGCTCAGTGAAACTCCTCCAAAGTTACTGTAACAGGTCAAACATTGCTTTTAGATTTAAATAAATAAAATCAGGGACATCAGCAGTTGCTGTGTTCAGTGTGCTCTGGAACTGTATAGCTCAGAGCCCTGTATGTACCATCAGAAGGCAACAGTGCTCAACAACACCAGGCCAAATTCGATTTGCAAGTTTGTCTCTGTCTTTACATTCAAGAGGGGCAAAGGGTACAAGAAAAACATGGTGCCTCAGCATTTATAAAGTCCATGCAGTGCAACCATCATGTACCTTCATGAGAAGGTATTGAAGGGTCTGATGGACAATGCAACTGACTTTCCACTTCAGCCAAGGAGCCTGTAGGCATTGCTGCAACCTAACAGTGTCTCAGTATTTTCTTGGCTGCATTAAGGGAAATCTATGATGACTGAGGCAGTAGAGGGGAGAGAAGCAGACAGTAGAAGAGGGAGTTGTCAGACTCAAACAGATGCTTTCTATAAAAGAGCATCCTTCCTCTTTTGTTTCCTATTATTTACCTTTTTTATTGTTTTTTAAAGCCAGTTGAAGTATAGAGGAATGTCACTTTGGTTTGGGCCCGTCTGTTTATTTTTGCTGTTGTTTCACTCTTTAGTTCGGATGTGGTATACAATCACACCTAAAAACTGGATCCTAGTTTTATAGGGACAAGAAAGTTAGACAAGAGTGATAGTATTTGTGCTGTGTTAGCAGGTTTCCAGGATTTGCCAACATTTCTGTTGCTGTTTAAAGAAAGGATGTGTGATGCAAAACTGTTAGTAGGAGGAGGAGCTAGCTAGAATCCTTCTCACTCTGCCTCCTCCCTTCTCCCAACTTACAGAAGGTCTGCTGGAAGTGTGTTAGCGTTGGTGCCTCTGGAGCAACATTGTAGAAATGGGTCTTCAAAGCTCCGCTCACGAGTAGATTGTATGCAAGGTCTGTTATGTTAATGCCCACAATAGCAAAAGAGTAGCTGTAAGAGAAGATCAGCAACATTTATAGGTACTTTGACTTATTCAGCACAGGAGAAAAACACCTTCAGTATCATCAGTGTTAACTGAGGTGCTGCATTAATTCTCTCCTGCTTCTGATGAGCTTCCAAAGAGGGGGTGAGGAGAGGGGTGGAAAGCAAGGCAAAACATTTATCCTGTCTCCTTGCTATGCTTATCATGGCCTGCAAGGCAACTAATCACAGTGGAAACAGGAGCCTTCTCACCACGCCAACTATTTTCTTCCCAAGGGAAACTAGATATATAGGTAAAAAATAGGTAAGAACCTATATCAAAGCATGTTGGAAACAGGAAAAAAAAAGTACAGACTCATGAAGCAAAACCCTCACCTGTTAAGAGGGTTTATTAACATGGAAAAAAAAATTTAGACACAAGAAAAAGAAGTTACTTCTTAATCCATGAGCTTTCTGCATAGAAGATTATGATGAAAAAGGGCAAGTACTTTCTGGAAATGACATTTCTCAAGGAAACATGCACATCCAATGCTGACATTTAGAGAGAGAAGCAAATATGTTATGTAGTGATTTATTTTTTAAAAAGAGTTATCATCTATCACTATTTCCAGTTATAACTACTAAGCAAACCAAAACTTTTTTTTTTTTTAAAAGACCTTTGACAGAAGAGAGAAAAAGCTTCTCCTCACTACAAGACTTCCCCCTATTACTACTTAACATGACATTTTTCCTATAAACCTACCTATATGTCTATTTTCAAACACAGTATATGTTAAAATATGTACACTGAAGTTTCATTAAAAATACAACTACGAAACACTTCCACACCTCATATATACATACATAAACAATTGTGTTTGTGGCAGCTTTAAAAAGATGGGTTTAAACTTACCCAATTGCCTTATCAAACTTTTTCTTCTCCCATTCAGCTTTACTGAATTGGCTGGGGAGAGGAAAAAAAGAGTTATTGAGATATTGCCTTGAGTTGCTAAATATTTCCTTCTAATTTGTTTTAGACTATAATATTCACTGGACACAGACCTTATTTTTTGCCCCATGGGCATATCTAATCACATTTGACTCTGCTCCTCACTGAAAGGACTGGCATAAAAGCCTTGAAAGGGATGACTTACCTCCTTTGTGGCATCCCTGATCAAATTCCTCATCATTTACTAACTTTGTGGCTACAAAACTCTCAATAAGAGTCAGCACTTTTCTATACTGACCACAAAGATGATCAACCTCAGTTAAATACAAGTTACAGAAAGTACTTAGAATATTAGGTTTCTTGTAGTTAATTGAAGAGCATTTTAGCTTTTTGCATTCTCCAGGATGAAACGTCACATTCACCACTGGAAACATGAGTCACTTGATACAAACATGAAAAACGGCCCTCCAGCAGGAAGTTTATACGTCCAACCCATTGGAGGACACTATGGGATGGTGGAGGGGGAAAGGGGGCAGGGGAAAAAAACAAACAAACAAACAAAAAAACCACACAACACCAAACAAACACACCACAAGCAATAATCCATACTACTTAGCACAATAATGCATAACTTTCCAAGGCCACAGAAAGTACCCCTCTTAAAGCAGAATTAATTGTGCAACCATTTAGTTTTAAGATAAGTGAAAATATAATTGAACAGAAAGTTAAAATAGCTATGCAACGCAACCATCTATAGTCTAATGTCATTTTGGTCAACGGGGTTTTACTGCAGCTACTTGCATGGAATAAGTTGAGCAGAAGTCAGTGGCTGCATTTACCGCAGCTAAAAGCAGACAGGAACTGACCCTGAGCTGATCCTGCAGGAATTTTGACTAAGTAAGGTCTAGGCAGTCATTGCAGGCTTAAAACCTCAAATCACAGACAGCTCTACATGAGCACATAATGCTTATGCCACACTTGAATGGCCATAAATATAAATTTACACTAAAAATAGCATTTTTGCATAATGTTCAGCGACTATTTCACAAACTGTTATAATTATTAGAGATGCTAGGAGGCTCACACACATCCTCACCTGAATGCAAAGATAGACCTTTACATCTCAAGTGAGTTAGTGAATGAGAATATGCCAGTCTATGCTCATTCTCCAAAAATCTGTCATCTTTGTAAGCTATGGCCTAACATTAAAAAAAACAAACAAAATCCAACAACAAAATCCCCCAAATCCCTGCCCCCAACAGTCCAACCTCTTCCCCCTCAAAACAAACAAACAAACCCCACACACCCCAAAAAAACCCACAAAACAAACAACCCTCTTCCAACACCCAAACACACCACACAAACAAATGTTTAATAATAAGCAGCACAGTACATTTGGGACATGGACAAGGAATACAGCTCAACAGAAATAGGAACTGCATTGTTCATTATCACATCAGAAGCCCGAAGTGCTGCTAAGCAACCACACACACACACAAAAAAAAAATCCCACACCACCACCCAAGGCATCACTAGCAGCATCTATCTTCTGCCAAACTCTCTTGAAAGAGATAAAAATTGCACATGCTCATACACAGCACTCCGGAACAGTCCTTGTAATCAAACATGTAAATGAAGAACAACTAATGGGATACACTGAATATTCAGTGTTGCGGCTGTGAGGCAGGGTACTTATTGTTAAAGAGAAAAAAAAAAAAAAAAAAAAAATCGGAGTGTGGTCTGCCATGCAGGTTTCAAACATTCAGTTAAATGAAATTGCTTGGCTATTTTCTATAATGCAATTTAAGAATCATGAAATCCCTGATCATTAGCATATATTAACAAAAATTATGCTATTGGGGGTGCTTGTAGGAAGAGGGTGAATGCTAACACTTAAAAGAAATCCCAGACAAGAATAAACCTGAGGACTAAGTCTCAGGCTCAATCTCTTGGTCTCACATTCCCCCCCAGGCCTCCAAGTGTTTCTTGCTGCAGAATTACCAAAGGGAAGTTAGTTACAAAACACTGAGATCAGACACTGGGCAGTATTCAGACATGGACCTGCAGAACTGGTACCCAACACAAGCAGTAGAAGAGAAAATTTCTTCCAAGCTATCTGATTACTATGGCACTGATAAAGAGGCAGACCCACCTCTGCCCCATTCCAGTTGTGAACTATATTATAAGAAGTTTATTCCATAACACAAGTGTTTGACTTCTTAAAGGTACCTGTTATTGATCTCAGAGGAGAGGACACTGGACTAGTCAGATTAGATAAATCATTAGCCATGGTAGTCAAAATTAACAGAATTGAAGGGTTCTTCAGATGAGGTAACAATCAAAAGCCATCTACGGCAAGAATTTATCAAGTCAGGGTTACAGCTGCTTTGACTCTACTTTTACAGCACAGCCTTTTTCTATAAGAAAGTAAAAATTACCCAGTAATTGTTACCAAATGAGTCTAAAATCCAGTGCTATCCCAAGCATGGCTGATCTTACTCTTACTAGATAACACACATCCAGTGTTGTGCCATCAGCTCATATGGAGCACTGCAGTATTTGAAGAAAGGAATGTGGAACTTCTGAAGGGATTGCAAAGATTTTCAGTTTATAGTAAGTCAAATTGCAGTACAGTTTGATCTTTATTTACATGTAGAGTCTCAAAACTAAGAGAAAAGAAAAAAAATACCTTATTTCCTTCTTAGTGACTTCCCTTCATTATGAAAAGACAAAAAGAATTAAAAGAAAGGTAAATAAAAGCTAAAAACACTTGAAATTAGAAGTTAGTTAAAATAGTTACACCGTATGATTCAGTATACAAGCTTGCCTCATGGAGCTGATTAGCTTTCAAGATCAATACTTAGAAACAGACAGCATGCGACTATGCGCAAGCATATGCCCAGTAAAACCAAATAGTGCCCACCCTAAAACACCAGCCCACACAACATTATTTAATTAGTTTTTCTACCCTTAAGCATTACCTGTATTTAGGCTGAAGAGAATCAGAAAGAACCTGCTGAGCTACTCCAGTGTCCCATTCAGCAAAATATCTGCAGATACATATATTTGGGGGTCACTTGTTAAAGACCAACAACAAAATAATTCTTGGGTCCTAATGAGCTATCCACAAACACCATGCCCATCGCTTTAAAAGGCCACTAAGCTTGTTAGGCAATATTAGCAACATTTAACATGTCAAATGCATTAGACTGCACCCCCCAAAATGAAAGGCAAAAGCAACCCAGGCTCAAGTGCAATCCTTTAACTTGTTGATGGATGTGTTACCATCTCCCTTTCTAAACAAGCTGCTGAAGACTGGTTTCTTATTACTAGAGTATATTGGAAACTAGGTTCAAGTTAAAGCAGTTCAGACTGCTCAGTCCGGCAGATTTGCTAACCTAACTGTGTCACCACAGACTAAGAAACAAGTCATAGGAACTTGTCTCCATGAAAGTTTAAGAGAGTCAAGCATCCAAATCCTTAATTGAGCTTTGCTATAAAACAATATGCAGAAAGCCAATGAAATTTTATATCCTTCAATCTGCAAGAGCAGGAAATATTCCCTTTCTGCCTCATAGGGAGAAGTTAATTACATAACTTAGAAACTTTCAGTAAAATATCTGTAGTAGATACAAGAGCTGGAAGAAAGAACAAATCACAGAAACTAATCCATTCCTAAATTATCAATCACAGATATGATACATTAGGTATTTTGTATGTGAGGCAGAATGGAATAGTTATTTAAACTCACTGCTTAGTTTTGAGTATTGAAATAAACTGAGGAATTAGTCCAACTCCAGAAGTCTACTATCAACAGCTGCATTTCATACCTTTTGCTTAGGAATTCAGAATGAAATTTCAAAAGAAAAAAGCTAAGCAGTAATATAATCCTCCCACCTGTACACTTTTAGGGTGTTTAGACAGCTAAATATTGGTGAAAATATACTTGTCTTTACTTGTGGGAAGAGTGTGCTAACTTTCACAGAACAGCGAAAAAGGGCTAAGCAAGCTGTACAGCCTAGTTAGATGAGGAATGCTGAAAAATATACCCTCCAGAAGAAAAACAAATGAAGTGGAAAATAAGTTTTTTGTCTCTTTATATAATCCCCAATGTTCAGAATTTAGGCCTATAGACTGGCTAAAACGATCCACACATAAGGCTGCTTTTCACAATTTCAGACACAAGCACATCTACAGAGAGATATACTTACACCAAGTTATACAAGCCCAGGAGACCCATCCCTCTAAAGTCTGTTTTAGGATCATCACCTTGGAAACCAATTTCACACCACTGCTTCGAAATCCGAGCTTTCAATGGCGAATTGGGCTTCAAACATTTCCACAGCTAGGAATATTACAGATAAAATATAATTAAGCTTCACACGTTAGTATGATCTTCTCTTTTTAAAAAATCCTAAATTCTCATGTCATATTAATTAGATTGTTATTCCAGCATCCATCATACATGAACAAATGCAATTCCTGGGGGTGGGGGAGATTCAAAACAACTCAAATGTTGCAGATGTTCTAGCTACAGCCCTAAGGCTCTTCTGACCTTATCTACAACTGTTGCAGAGTTTTGCACAAGGACTTGTTCATGCTTTGTGCATCAGAATAGAATCTGCCTCTACAAGCACCAAATCAGAAATAGGCTGGACTTTTGCAGTAAGTCACTGACAAGGTGGCAGGCAATCAGCCTTCAATTCCCTTCGGCTCTGCAGCAATCTTTTGCAAGTCTCTGGACCAATTACAAATTGAGAGCCAAGTCAGCACTCTCTTAGTGCTGAAAAGCAAAACAGAGAACAAAACAAGAAAAATATCCATATAAGAAAAGCATGTTCCACCTTCATGTTTAACTAAGGAGTGAAACACTCATTGATCCCACAGCAACAACAGGGAAGGAGAAAAAAGGCAGGGAGGAAGGGGGAAACCTACCTGTATTAAAGTAACTAATTTAGGGAGGCTAAAATTTTTAAAGATTTGGCCTTAACAAGCTGCCTAAAGCATTGTATATTAAGTGACATTTTCTATTTCTTTCTCACTCACCCATTAAGGTCAATCACATTCAGCTAATCTTTATCTCTTTTTATAAAGACCCTCCTGATAAACCTAAGTGATAAATATTGAGAATATGAATTCCGCGTTGCAGAGATCATCTAACAGAATACTTAGAAGCAATGAAAGGCAACCAGGCTATTCTTCCCCACAGTATTCTAGTGTGGCCTAGAAACCAAATCAAATTTCTGAACAAGCATATTTTACATGAGAATTTGCAAAAGCAAGAAATGTGCTGTAAGCCAGTGCCTAACACACAGATTATATCAGACGCAGATGAAGATATTGTTATCCTTTTTCAGCATTAAGAATCTTTCTGTGCAAACTGAACTCCCCTCAAAAACACCCCTTTGATTCCAAACTTCCCCACTAAGCAAAATCTGGGTGTCCTTTTATGCAAGCTCCCCTCTAACCTCAGAATTTTGCTTTTTGGCTGCACAGGGGCAGGAATCCAGCAGGACGAGGCTGTCAGCTGCTCAGATCTGTCAGATCTGCTCCAGCAGCAGCCCTGGACCACAACATTCCCAGCCAGACTCCCACCTCCCCACAGAGCCATCCACAGCCAGGGAATCAATGCATCCTTGGGGGATGCTAGTGCCTTAATAAGGGGATCTGTAAGTCTCAGCATGCAGAATTTTGTATCAAGTACTACAGTGTGCATCTGAGAGATGCAGTGTTAGATTTCTTGGGGGGCGGGGAAGGGAAGTAGAGAACTGGCAATAATCATTCTAGCCATGTCTGTAGCAATTCCAGGCACACACAGGAGTCAGCCTTAAGCACAGCTCTCTAGGCACCTACATGTCCTCTTTTACCACTTGAGACAGCAATTTTAATAATTATTTGAATCAGTAGGAGGTATAAGGGCTCAGTGGAATGTTTTAGAAGCATCTGCTAGCAGAAATAGCACAAAGATTCCCCACTATAGCACTATAACTTGTGTAAGGTGCTATGTTGCAAGTCTTGTGGCAGACGGCATCACATGCTGTAAAAAACAAACTGTGGATGAACAGGACGGAAGCATTTAAAATTTTTAGTATTTATTTCAGGAAAATAATAAACACCAGATTTGCTTATTATAAGACCCTCAAAAGTTCTGTAAGAGTGCAGTCTTTTTAAACAGGCTGATACATTACTACCTATTTAATGCTTCCAGCCATTTTTCAAGAGGCATCTTGTACTAGTTATGGTCAGAAAAGGGGGTCAGAAATGTGAAGACTTGTTATTAGACTATTTTCCATCCCCTTTACTCTGTTCTCCTCTTATTTTTAAGAGCTCTTTAGTTGTCTCCTTGTTTGCAGTTTTCACATCTTCTTCAAAAAAAATACTGCCATTTGGACACATCAACGATACCTTCAGAAGTACTGGAAGGTGAGGAAAGAAATATTTAATCAAAAGAGAAAAATACTCTTATCTTCAAGAAAGGCTTTCTGAAGTGAGATGCAATGCATTTTCCCAGATCTGGTCCTACAGAGGAGTGAGAGGTAGATGCGCAGCACCTGCACCTAGTGCAACCAACAAGCTATAGGTGGCTGCATTCCTCACCCCAGGAGCGAGCCGCCTGCTTGGCAGGTATTGCACCCACACTACCTTCATTCTGCATAGGGCTCATCTTCAAACAGGTGCAAAATGGAGGGAGGTAAAATGTTCACAGATATTTTCAAGGGGCTTATAAACCAGACTAGTAGGGTTGGCAAGCATAGACGATTCCCTCTAAGTCTTTAAGCTTAGCTTTAAGCTCCTACCTTCAGAAGCATTTCTTCATGTTGTGGATTCTCTGAGTCATAGGGCTCTCTGCGCAGCTTTTCAACCTCCGCAACCAGATTCCGGTAGCCCACAATCTGCAGCAGGCAGGCCTGAAGGGACACCCCCAGCCTAAGGTGGTTGGGGGAGGAAGAGAATCAACTCAACCACCCGCAGCCAGGCAATAGCACTGCTGTGCACACAGCTATTCAGTTCGTAGGAGTAATGCGTCATCAATGAATTCACAGCTTAACACTATAGCTACTATAAGAGTTTCTAAAGATCAATATTACATTAAGTATGGCCTTGTGAGTTGTACAGTCTCACTGCTTAGTGGCTTTCTTTGAGAAAGCAGTTCTGGATTTCTCCGAGCAGTGAATTCTTTCACTTATTAAAGATTTAATATGATGCTACACAGAAGGCCTGCTACAAGCACCTCACTGATTTTTTTCCCCTTCATTCAAATGGCAGCTTCTTAAATAACACCTTGAGACTAGAACTAGAAGATAAAACTATCCATGTTGTTTCCATGTCACAAAGCCCATGCAAAGGCAGCAAAAACCTGAAGCAATATAGTTCACAGATCCGATTTTTTTTGGGGGGGGAAGAGTGCCCCACGTGCTAAGAATTCACAAAATGACTCTTCTCATTATAACGCAGATCAACTTTTAAAATCCCTAATGCATCATTACAAAACCCATCATATGGCTTCTAATGCTTTAAGTCAGTGACTTTGTATTTCATATAAAATTTCGATCTAAAACAAGTTAAATAGTACACAATGGCCAAGCTTTTTGCTTCTCATACAAATTCCTAGGAATATCTGGGTATTTATGGAAATAAGTGCTTTTAAACTTTTAATGTCTGAAAACATCAGAATGTCTTTGAATTCTGAGACCACAGGTTGATCTTTATTCTCTGTGGAACCTAGGCTGCACTGATATTAAGCTGCCTAGACACTTCATCTGTTTTGCTTCATATACTAAAACATTTTGTTCATTCTATAATACTGTTAAGCTTTCTGAGCTGAAGGATTCTCATTGCTTATCTTTTGAGATTAATCCACAGAATAAAATATGCCACCATCAAGCCTTTTTTTTTTTTTTTTTCCCCGGCTGCAATTTCATGCTTTTTTGGGGCTATAATCCTTTTAGGATATCTTAAGCAGTGACTTCTCTCCTTTGGTGTTCACATGCTTCACTTGTTACACCCTGCAGTTTTATAGAAAGGTTGCATTAAAAAGAAATCTGAAATGCCTGACAAGACTGCATGAGCAGTGCTGTAATGCACTGCCAAACCTCAGCCATAATGTTTTTAACCACACACAGTAACCTCCGAGTACTTTAGAGCAGAACACCATAAGCAAGGAGGGGAAAAAAAGGCAATTAAATATAAAAAATAACTTCCAAACTGTAGAACATATACAGAAAAATCTGCTTGTGCACTATCAACAACCAATTCAAAAGTCCATAAAATGTTTTTGCATAGAGAAAGCCATTTTCCCTATTTTTTCAATTAATCCTTTTCTCACTTCTTTCTAGAGGTGCCAGGCCAAGGGGTGGGGTGAGCAGCCGTGGCCCCACATCTCCCTGCAGACCTACACAGAACCTCTTCCCACACAGACCGTGGGTACAGCCTCCATGGGGCAGCACGCCCACCCCACACAGCTCAGGTGCTCACTGAGACGGAGATGAGTCTGAAATTGGAGTATTTCATAGCCTCCTTCCATAGCTAATGGGACCACACATGTCACCACCTGCTTATTCAGCCTACTTTCTCCCTCTGCTGAACATACATAGTATCATCCTTTACTGAGTGTGCATACTGCTATCTTAAGTACATAGAGAAGATGAAACTGTCCCAATATCTCCTTCTCTGCAGGTCACCAGAGCCTATAGCCTGACGGAACAGCAGGCTAGTTTGGAGTAAACATCCCCAGGATGCTAGTTCAGCTCTGCAAAGATGCTACATTAACAAAAATGACTTCATATATGTTCACAGAAGAATATACAGCAGTATACATGTCCCCTTGTCCTTACCCTAGAATTTTAAAGTATCTCTTATGCAAGGGACAGTCAGAGCTTCTGAAAACAATAGCTAGATGTGGGTTTAAAAGGAGGCAGGCTAATGTATGTTGGTTAATCCTAACTAAAGAAATCGCTGATCTGCTTTAGTTGAATTTTCTCCCCAAAGGTTCACTGTAAAAATAAGTACCCCACATGGAAGACTTCAGTCCCCACAATTAGAGATTCACATATTTATAATCAATTTGAAATTAGATGCAATTTAGCAACAAAGTTTGTTGCTATGCATGCAGTACCACCCAACTCTTGCCTCAAGTTCGGTGCTCAGAGGAAAACAAAGATCTCACTACTTACTCTTGAAATGCCAGCTTTTAAAATAAAAGGTTTGCTGTTATTCTTTTAATGCTACAAGATCATAGTGGTTTCATTAGGTTGTATTGCTTACTTTCGTTTGGATAATTCATAGGGGTTTTAAGTGTGTAAACTAATACATGGCTTCTATTAGTTCTGATGCGACAATTTCTTCCCTTCCTAATAGACTGCGGCCTTGCTAAGAAGCCATCACTTTCACTACTATGATCACCTGCATTGGTGCTATTTCATCCTTTGGAAAGTGACACCCATAAATCAATATACCAACAATATACAGCAGTAAGACAGCAAGATTCAGGAAGCAACTAAAGAGACTCAGGACTTGATGTTTATTATTGTCACTATAAGAGATAATTCATTTTTCTATCAGCTTTCTGGCAGCAAAGCTGAACTTACGTTTTTATATTGAGAAGTAAAATTCATCCTCAAATCGTGTACCAAAATAGCTATGGAAAAACCCATTCTCCATGGACTGAGGCACTGTAGAAATTAATAATTTAAATTTGTCTCATAGGGGAGTCACCAACTTACTGTGGGTTTATATCTGGATTAATCCTTTTCAGCTCCATGATGTCATCTATAGTTTTTTCAATAGCATCAGGGTGAACACTTACTGAAGTTTGCAGCCGCTAAAAGAGAGATTTTAAACATACATTCATTCTTATGGAAACATATTCAATAAAAGTTAATAACAGCAAACACTGAAAAGCTTCTGAAAGCTTCCTGAGAGCTTCTAGGTTAATAGCTCAATACAGCCAACTCACTTATGGATTGTTCAAGTTTTATTCAATTTTATTCAATACTACTGACTAGTTTCAGGACATGAGAATTCAAATTACTTTTCTGTTCCCATACAGTTTTCAACGTATTTCCATGGTGACTTCCAGCAAAGATCTGCATTGAGTCTTTGATAAAGAAAATAGCTTCAGACCAGCTACTCAGTTACACCGAAGTTACTGGCCTTTATTTGGCACACATTCCAGACACTGCAGTAACACAACAGAACAGTTTACTTCCTCTTGAAAGTTACTGCCATATAATGATGATCCTGGAAGTTTGGTATTCAAAACACACACACACACACCAAAAAACAAACAAGGAAACACCAACAAAAAAAACCCATCAAACCAAATACACCCAACCAACTACACAAACAAAATATTAAAAACAAACCAACCAATGAAACCACTACATGCAGACCACACACACATGCCTTCAAAGATGACAGAAGCTAAATTTTCTGATGCTGTCTCAAAACCAAACCAGTTGAGCTAAAAGAAAATTTGGAATGCTGAACTCTCCGATTCAGAACACTACTTTTGCTCCTGCTGAGGCAAGCCTTCCAGCAACATTGATTCTCATCCCAAAGCATCAAATTAATAGTACCTTTCAGTCATTCATACTGTTTAATTTACAGGAACTTTGTTTCTGATTAGTGAGAAACACTTAGGTTGACACAACCAGCACTACAGTGAAAGAATGAAGAGAGGCTATTTTTCACTTATGTAATCGAGAGGAAGGCAGAGAAAAGTTATTTTGACTGTCTAGGTACTGCTATTTTCACCCACATTATCCCTCCTTTAAGGGCAGAGGTGCACAGGGCTTATGTGATTGACTTCAGAATACAGAAGGATTACAATAGGATTGGAAATTAACCCAAGAAATTCTGAATTATTAAAAAGAGTTACTCCTATTTGCCATGGCCTGTTGCCCTCTTGATCCCATCAGTGCCCAACACATGCCAAACCCTGGAGGACAGGAAACACTCCCCAATTCTGCAAGACCTCCTGTTAGTGCAGCCACTGAACTGTCCTTGGTAGAAGGTGTCCTTTAATGTGAGGTTCGACCAAACTTTAAAGTGATTTTTGAGAGTGAGCACACAGACCAAACAACACATGTCATGGGGAGGTAGGGAGAGAGAGTGAAATATGAGTTATTTCGCTCACCTTACTTTTTGAGCCCTTCAGTGATGCCTCTGTTAAAAGATTGAAAACACTGTATCAGACAAGCTAATTTTTTTTACTAAATTCACTTAACACTAAACTTTTTTAAAGTGAAGTCAGAATATTATTAGCACAGGCAAAAAATGCAGAGGCATGCAGAGACCTGAGTATTTTGCAGTTACCTATTTTCATAGTTCTAGCAGCTCCAGGCTTGGTATTGTAACAGATCCTTTGCAACTCGCATCGTCCTGTTAGCTTCCTGACCACGAATTTCAGACAGCGCCACAAGCACTTACAGTAGAAGTAGAGACATACCTGAACAAACATCCTGTCAGGAAAAAAACAAGCCTGAGAAAGAGAGACTTGAGCAGAAGTTGCTTTGACAATGTCACCTTCCTATCCCAAACAGAAAACACTTCCTTCCCCTAAATTCCCATTGCCTAATGACACCTTTAAAGCAAAGGCAGCATTCACATTGCTAAAAATTTATTCTGATAAGCATTAAGTCATGCTTTTCAATCATATTCAGTGAAAAGCCTAAAGTCAGGGCCAGAAACACAAAATGTATCAACTCAGGAGTTCTGAAAAGCATTATTTCTGAAAAGGGAACAAAAGCCTTAAAATAATGGACTACATGTCTCTTGCTAATGTTTTTGAGAAATAAAACTACAAAAGAAGAAAGCCCAGATCATCTAGTAATGGCAGCTGTAGAGAATCTGCAGAGCCACCACACTGCACCTCCCCTAGCCATGCCTTGACACCCAGCTCTTCCATACAAAGTAGTAGTTATCCTGATAAACGCAAATCCCAATACCAACTCTGGATCCATAAAAATCCCAACTCAGGAAAGCAGGGCTCCTCCCCTTAAACAAGGGCCCTGTACCTGCCCTGGGGAAAGCCTGCTCTTCCTTGGGCCAACCTAAGAACTAATCCTGCTGTAAACAATACTGGATTAGGGACCTCTTGAGGTTCTGCCCAGCCTTGACATGATCCCAAGAAAGCCTGGAAATGCCGCACACCTAGAACATGTCTATTTTGAAGCTTGTCAATGTTGCAGTTGCCCATGCCACATACTATCCCAATTACATATCACCTCCCAAACAGATTCACGGGTTATCATTTGAGGGCACCAGGATACAAGATTGAGCAAGAAGCATCAAGACCCCACATCTCAGAACAGGTAAATTACAAAGATCCCACACACCTGATGAGAACAGCAGAACAACTTTGATTCATGAACTTCTTAATTAATTGTCAAAAATAGCTTAGCCCGTTATGTTTTAAGCCTTTGTATATACATGAATATCATACTATTTTTTTCCATATGTTTTGACCCTTGCCAAAAAACATTTGTTAAGCAACTCCATATTATCATTTTTATGGAAGTTCATTGGTTACTCTGAAATACTGCATGCTAGATACTCAAACCTGCCTGACTTTAGTAAAGCCAGAAGAGCTGCATTACTTCACAAGCAGTCCCAAAAGGCATGTTTGCAACAAGACATTCAGAAAAAGAAAGATAAATCATGTTAATGTCCACACATGAACTTAATCTGCATTACTTCGCTTTAGCTTAATCCCTTTTCGAAGGGGAATTTCACTAAGGAAGTAGAACCTCTTTATGTCTAAATGGAGAGTATCCACACAAGAATTTAACATGCTTTCAAAGCACCCACTTCATCTTCACACTTTTAGTTAATTCACTTAACTTTCCTGAATGCCTGAGTGCAGAAACCCCTTGCCCTATTTTAAATAGACCAAGAAACTGAAAGATAAGGATTCATTCCATCTGAATCAAGAGTCAATTTGGATCACATCTTACACAGGCAAAACCATTTCAGGGGCTGACAGCTAGAGCTTTTTCCCCACCCCACCATACTACAACGTGCTACCACAAGGCATTTGCACAAGCTTTACAACAGGCAATCAACTAGAGTATCAAAAACAAGATCAGATGTCAGGAGGCAACTCTGTCATCAGCTAAGCAGTTATTCTTTATATCTTCTAAAAGGCAGAAGTTGCTTATATAGAGCCAACCACCTGCAACTTTTAATAACGGAGAGAAAAGAACAAAGCAAAACCAGGCTAACACAGGGTATTTCAGCTTCTACAGTAGAATTCTGATATTAAGCACAAATTCAACTAAGACCCAGCACCCAAATATTTAAAACACAACTTACAACAACCCCTCAGCCTCCTCAGTACACTCCAGCTCCTTATTCACATTGAAGGTCCAAAAAAGTAAACACAAGAAGTAAATGCCAAACTAGAATCTGGAGTGTTATGAAACAGTTCTGAGTTTATCACACATTTTTAAAACACATCACAGCTAGCTTCCCAATTTACTCTCAAAGGTTAGGCCATTATTAGATCAATTTGTTACCCAGAAAGTTCATTTATATGAAAAGGGACAAAAGGCTCACTTAACCTCACGCTTAGGTTTCATCTGAAAAAGCTTTCTTCCAGTGAAGAGAATTGCTCCTACAGCCATCACAACTCCTTTTAGAGTGTTCATGCCTGCACTTAATTGACTTTCAGGCTGAAACCTCACAGCCCGTTCTGCTACAGAGAAGCTGGTTTCTTACCGAGTCATGAGACATAGATAAAATTCCAGAGTACGTTTCAAGTGCCTTGAAGTTATGTTCTGTTCCTGCCTTTAGGTTCAAATGACAGCTTTGCAAATAAAAGAAAAATACTAAATAGGATCTGGTCTTCCACAGTTAAAATAACATTTACCACTAAAGTTTTACTTCAGTTGTTGTTCACACAAAGTAACTAGTAAAAAACATCTACTGAAAAGGGTCACTATAGCACAGAGAAACACTAGGTATGAGTCACCAAAATATACCTAGCAAACTATTACTAATAAAGCAGATAAGCACTAATTTTGACTAGATAGCTTAGAAAAGGAGGTTTGCCTCTGTGGATACCTGCAAATTTCAACTACTCATCCATCTTAAGCTTATGATAGTTGAAGTCTTCTGCTTATAATATGAATGGCATAGAGTTTTTTTTTTTTTTTGCAAGTTTGTTTTCAAATGGGCTGCTCTTTAGAAAAGGGAATTCTTGCTTGCAGAGGTCCTGTAATAAAAGCATACTAGTGATTAAATAAAATTTTAATACAGTTTTATTTTAGTAGCTATGCATTTGAGTTTACCTGATAGAAATAAATCACTGCATATCATTGAAACGAACCCCTATGGATGTTGCATGAAAAACATGTACTTGATTATGGTAGAATAACATGAACTTCTAGTTTGTTTTAGGATTCCAAACCTTCTTTTCCATCAGTCCTTTTCTGTAGTATTGGCTTTTTTCCTGCTTGCTTTAATGCAAGATCCAGAAAATGGAGGGTGCTTCACTAGCAATTTGTATAGTCATGTAGTTTTTAAGAGGGAGCCAACAACAACACTTCAGTTCCTCAGGCGAGATTTAAGAATAGAAGTATAACAGAAATTAAGACATTCCTAAGGCACTTGCACGTAATACAAGGAAGGAAGACAGGGAGCGTGTATTGGGACAGGGAAGAGTAGGGTACAATGGTACAGACCTGCAAATTTGTGTTTATGTACACAGTATGCATTATAAGAGTTTGTATTGGCATTTATCCAGAAAAAAATCGTAAAGTACTGTATAATAAGATGTTAAATTGCATAGTCCTAACTAACAGTGAGTTCTCTTGACGAGGATGCTACATGAGTGCAGACACATGCACCTAGCCTCCCTCTGTGAACTTACTCTGGGAAAACTTCCAAGCACTGGTACCAAGCACTCGAGCACAGGAAGCAACCTGCTAGTCCCAGAGAAATGACAGGGCAGCTCAGTAGTTTTGCTACTGTTGTCGTAGTAATGTCCTTGCTTTCAATTCTAGAAAAGCCTTGTGAAATATTATTCAAGGATAAAAACATATGTCTACAGCAGCCTGAAGTTGCACAGAAATTTGATTCCCCTTGCCTCACCCCCCACACAATTAGCAAAGGACAATTAAGGGTTGGTATATGCATTTATTTATATCTTTCTTCCTTGCTCTTCTACTTCCTAAGTCTATAACAGCATTTGGCAGAAATTCTCAAGAGCTCTTTCATAAGAGAAGACAGGAATGAGGAAGCAGGTCCTGCAAGTTTGAGGGTCCCTGCAATACCAAGATAGAGCCCAAAGAACACAGAGCATCATTGCTGCAGTCACAGCACAGCCATTCTCCACAGCACGTGCTGCTCTGACTCAGATAAGAAAGCCTAAGGCAGCAAAAAGCAGAGGTAATTCAGATACTTTTATGTTTTTGTAGGCAGCATCAGAGCAAAAATTATTTTCTTAATAAGAGTCTCAAAATGTGCTCTTCTCTAGCACAACTGCTGTTGGGGACACCATGATGAGAATAACAGACTGCAGTCATTTCAATTCATATTTCTGACAGCATGACATCACATTTTCATTTTTATTCAAATATTACTGACTTTAGCTAGTCTTCTGCACTACAAGCAAACAAAAGGAAAGATCAATAGGTTTCCAGAGAAACCTGGAACACTTCCTAACACTTCAGCAAAGGTCATTCCTTTGGTAAAGGAATGTAAGGTGAAGGAATCCAAGATACTTCTTGCTATTTTTGTCACATGTATGTATAACATACCTGGTATTATGTTGACATGAAGGGCAGCAGGGGTGAAATCTGTGCACTTTGTTTCTGGAATCTAGCAAGTCCGTCCCCTGCCTGTACCCCTCCACCCACCATAGTACTGTAATCTTAGTGTTACTGTACAGAGACAGTACCAAACTGAAGGAATACATAGAATAAGGAATATGTAGAACTAGATGACCCAACCCCATATAGCTCAATTTGGAGGTGGATCCACCTCTTCCCAGATTCACTGGATCTGCGTAAACATCCTTTCTTTCTTGAGAATCCCATTTTATGTTCTATAGATACAAGAAATTCAACAGAATTCAACCATGAAGTACAAATCATCAGTTCTGACATGCACATAAGCCTTAGCTCCTTTAAAATAAATAAAAGCATTGTGTCTCTTCATACATATGACAACCAAAATTTGAAATCCAATTTATCTACCCACTTAGACACAGAAGTCACCATAGCAACTAAAGAACATAAAAGTGGTTTTAAGGAGAAGCATTCCACGCTTTCACATTTCTCGCTTTCAAATAACTTCATTTACATTTTATCTGATGGGACGCCAGCAAGACAGAACCGCATGCTTAAAATTTGTTACTGCTTAGAAACTGTTTTGCAGTAGATCAAGAGAAGCTATCAAGTTTCTAACGTTTACTGAAAAAAAAAAAAAAACACACAAGTATCTGCTCCAGTTAAAATCTTAAATAATAATTTAGAGAAGATGAACAAGCTAAATCAAAATGGAAGCATCACTGAGATTTCTTAAAACATCTACTTACAAAAAAAAAAGTATTGGAAGATTAAGTGTTTCATAATGAAACATTATTTCATAGGTAATATACCAAGCTTTAGGAATAATTCAGATCAGGGCAAGGTCAAAATCAAATTGGCAAGAAAAAAAAATGCGAGAAATTTCTAAAACAACTCTTTTCCTCTGGATATGGATTAGAGGTATAGCATAAGTAGGGAGAAGAGTCCTGGGCAATACTGGGCATGTAGATTACTGGTCAGAAGCACTGCCCTAGATCTGGGGATTTAGAATTATTCTAATTAGTGGATTGACTGACTTAAACTTTCTTTCCTCTGGAAAGCAGCAGCTAATGAAAATATATAGATGAAAAGGCAGTGACTAACTTCTGCTACATTATGGATGTCCAAGTCTAGAAGTGATATTCTTAAAGAATCTGGTTACCCTTGGTGCAAACACAGGACACTTCCTTAGCTCTTCAGATACGCTGTGCAGTCCTGTGAAAGGCAGGAACACGGGAAGTAATCTGGATTAAGATGGGTTGCGTAAGCAATTTTATTACTGACTTAGAATTTTTTTTATTCATTCGAGTGCTTTAGTAAGACTAACTTTAATAAACTGAAGTCCTATCTGGCACCACAGTATTCATCTTCTATTTTCTTAGTTAATATTTCATTTAATGACTGAACTTTGTGTTAGGAAAGTACTATGAACTCCTTTTAAAGCTAACAAACAAACTGAAAAGAAACACTTTTATACTTGTGATTTCCTTTTTCAGTTACAGTACAGATGCTGGCTGTCAGCAAAGAGAAGTATCCTATATTTTCCTTATGAAATACTACTTGTAATATGTAGAGAAAGGACATCTTTGGGGAAGGGCACTCAAATCCTCCAAAATCCCAAAGAGAAGCAACCCTCCCCTGCAAAGCCCTGAAAACTCTAGTAAAAATATATTCCCTGCTGTGCTACATCTTTAAATGATATTGAATGCTGATCTGTTGTCCCATTAGAAATGAATTCATCACAACAGAAAAAGAAAATGCAACAGCAAATGCTGTCATCAAGACACTTCTTTTGGACGTGCATTAAATGTGATGAAGAGTGAAGGCCAATTTTGGCAGGCTCCCAGGTTGCTACTACTGGTAACAGACAAACACTGGGGACAGAATATATGTGTAATTGCTTCGTTTCCAGCTGTCAACCAAGTTTGGATGCTAAACATCCTTGTCTTGTACCTGATCTCCCTGCAGCTCCTAACTTAATTGCTCTTTCACTATCCCACTAACCTGCCATCACATTTAAAAATATGCAGCAGAAGTTATTTTCATCACTAACTGCTCTTCAAAGCTGACTAAAGCTTATTTTTTAATCTTTCCAGATTTCTTATACACTCACAAAATACAGGAAATTGAATAAGTTACCCCATCAGTCCCATGTTGGACGTAGAAGAAGAAATCCAGATGCTGAACAGAATTGAGTTTTCTACTTCAACATTAATTTCCTACCTGAGGACTTCTGTACTTTTTCCCCTCTAATTTGACTTTCTGCCTTGCATTCAGAATATTTGACTTCCCATAAAAACAGCCAGATTGTGATTTTTAGATAATCAATTGCTTTTCAGAGGCTTGGCTCCCTGGTCTACTCCAGAAAGGCTAATGCCATCAAGACATCTCCTCAAGGCCTAAGATTCAATGTCTTCAAAAAATGAAAACAAGTGGATATAGTTTTCTCAGGAGAACTACAAGAATTTAGATATCCAGAAGAGCACTCTCTATCCAACATGAGGACCAAAAAAGAAGACAGAAAAACAACAACAAAAAAAAAACCACAAAAAAAAAAAAAAACACACACACACACGCACACACACACACCAACGGGAGCGAAACAACCATATGAAGCAGAACTGACAGTTCAAAGACAGAAGCAAAGTGTTCACTGTAGTCAGGGAGGAGCAGGCAGGTTAGAAGTTGTCAGCAGTTCAACCTCTCCCCATGGAGGGAGCAAAACTATACCATAATGACCTGCTTTCATAAGCAGCACTCTAAGGATCTACATAGCAAGCAAAAAAAAGACAAAAAGCATTTTGGAAGCACTGTTCAACATTACTGTGTTTCTCCTATCAGACACATCAGACACCAGAAATCTGTGGCCGATTCGATAGATCACTGACCAGATCCCATATGACACTCGCTGCATTCTTTGTGCCCATGAAGAACTGAAAAGAAGATTTTAAATTAGATCTGCCATTTTGCAACAGCTTTAATTAAATGATGAATCTAGCTGAGTAGAAAGCAACCTAGTATGATCTAGTTCACACCTCCCATATTACTGGCAAGAGCTAAAACATTTAAGTAATTGCAGTATAAAAATAATCATCAGTTAATTCCACTGAGAAACATGCAGAGAGTTACCTTAGGAAGTGTTTCATGATGACGGTTTTGATTGTGTTACTGGAGCTGTAATAAATTGATCACTGATAGCCTCTTCTTTGCAGAAGATAGCAGTACTGCAGAAATAGAATTAAGATGTATTTACTAACAGAGAAAAAGGAGCACTCTGCATTTTTGAGAGTTTGTAAGCTGATCTTGAAACATCTCCCCCATGCATTTTCTTAAGTATTGAAGAAATCTCATGCCAACAAAAACAAAAGCCTCAGCCTGAGCCCATACTTTGGCCATCCACGTATCTCTCCATAAAACCTATAGTTTTCTTCCAGAAGCCAGAGCATTGTTACACATGTTGGCTATTGCAGCAGATTCCATACTTAAAAAGAACAAATGACACTTTGTTGTCTTGTACTAGCATCAGTGGGCACCACACTCATGAGAAACCAGTCCATTTGCACTCTTAGAATATGCTGAAAAGCACATGAAAGCCTTCAAGATCTGACCACTTTTGTCATATAAAAGAAAGCTGTAAGTCCAAGAAACAGAAACGTAACCCTATCTTCTGTGGGATACATCAGCACTATGGAGAAAATTTTTACCCTCTCTAGTTCTCATTTTATTTCCTTTTTATTACATGCATGTTTCACATTGTGCTGTTGCTTGCTGACAGGAACAAAACAAGCATTTAAGTTTAGATGAGAGAGGAAAAAAGTGCACATGCTTGTCGGATTACATTACATAAGAACACAGCTTACTAAAAATATATAATCTCTGAACTGCGAAAGCTTCATTCATTTATATTGTTTTTGACTGGCTAAATCATGTTGCTGTCGCCTAAATACAGTTGTAATTGGTGCTAGCTGCAGTGACACCTGCTTGCAAGGGCACAGGGATGCTCACATCAAACTCCACTTCATTAACGAGCACAGCAAACAGGGTCTCATATTTTTGACACGTCTCAGATAGCAGCAAGCGCATGGAGAATGGAAGACAAAACTGGAGGAGATGTAACCTGCTCCCCTTCTCCAGTCCAATAATTTGCTGTTCAAAGATACAGCTTGTGAAAGATTCCCACAGCTGAGTCTCAGCTTTTTAGCATCAACTTAAATAAAGGAAATTTCACTGCAATATCCTGACCCATTTCATGGGGAGCTGTGTAAGGAACACACCAACAGAGTCAGAAGCTGCCAAGACAACTCCTTCTATAATGTGTGCTGGCCTCAGCCCAAGGTCAGCTCATTTCTGACTCTGATCAAAGACCTTACTGCTTCAAAAAGAAGAAAAGCTGCACTTCTTTAAATCTCAGAATTATCTTAACCAGGCATGGCACAATAGAAGCCTCAAAACTGCCTCCCTTCATGAGCAATAGCACACTACAGTCCTTTTTTCTTCTCCTTATTAAGGACTTTTATAGTTGAGATAATCATGGTAATAAACATTTGTGAACTTGTTGAAAGAAAGAAAAAAAAAAATTCATTTTAGTCAGAAATGAAATTTCACAACAGCATTTCCAAAGCCAGAATATTATTCAGTGAAGGCCAGCCTACTGGCTGCTAGCATGCTGGAAACCTGTGTTTACACTTTCACATGCTTTCACTCAGACTGAAAACTTGCATCTGTATTTTTCACATCCAAAGAGAATGGTCCAACTTCAAGCTAGAGTCACGTTATATTACTGAAGGAACTTGGGGACAAAAAAAATGCATAGATCGACCACTGAAAACATCTATGAACTGAAGTTTAAGGTTTGCTCTTTGAAATGACAAAGCTGGAGAGCTGGGCCTTCTTCAGCCTGGAGCAAAAGCAGATTTGAGGGCACCTTAGAGCAGTTCCCAGCGTCTATGGGAAGTCACTGGGCGGGGGGGGGGGGGGGGGGGCAGGGAGGAAGTGCCAGGCTCTTTACAGCAGTGCATGGTAGGAGGGCAAAGCAAAACAGACAAGTCCAAACAGGAGAGGTTCACATTGGACATAATGAAAACCCATTTTCCCTCCATCAGTGCACTCAAACAGTGGAACAGATTGCCCAGGTTTTGTGCCCCAAAGTCACTCTTATGGAATAATTCATGATCCAGGTATTTCTATTAAAGAAGATAGAACATCATTACAGTGTCTAAGTTTTTTTAAAAATTAGTAGTTTAAGAACCTGCACCTTCACACTAAAATCTTATATAATTTGTAGCATCTCCCATGAAACAAGCTCAGCTTGAAGGCTGAACATGATTACTCTTTCCACATCTGTGTTCCACTCCCCGCAAGCCTCATCACTCATTTTGACCATAAGCAAATTGTTTAAGGGATCTACAGCTCAAGAATAAGAACGCCCACACAGTCCTGCCAACATATGCACACCTGAAAGCTTTTAACAAAAAAGAATCAACCCCAGGCCCCTTAGGTCAAGCTATATTAACTCTTAGCAAGTATTGTTTGCTAACCTATTTCATGGAATCAATACATTTTTATTGGCACTTTACCTAATTTTATTAATACTTCAGAGAGGATAAAAACAAACAAACAAAAAAAAGAAAAACAAAGAACACACACAGCACACCCAAATCCCCAAACATCATGGCAACTGTTTATTCAAATAAGCGGTGAAAACAAATGCTCTTGCAGGGTACTTATTTAGGTCATTCTGCACCATAATAATTATAGTGTGTAGAACTCTGACTTAAAACACAATCTGGGAAATGGATCTCTTGCTGAAATGGCTGCTCACAGCAGCTCAATTCTAAGTTTTGTGAAGCTAAGGTCGAGGCACTTTGCGCCTTGGCTCAAAGTGTCTTTGTCCTACACTAACTGATGCAGCTACCCTGAGGACCAGCTGGAAGACCAACAGCTGACACCTCTTTGGTGGGAGCTCAGCTGCTCTTCACAGTACAGAAGGGTGTACTTGTTTCCACATGCCCAAGACTGGGTGATATTCAATTTCAAGCATTCTCAGGATGAAGTCTTGCAATAAAATGTCACAGTTGATTGACGAAGCTAATGAGCAACACTTGAGTTCAGTTACACTGTCACAGGTAATAAGATTTTTCTCTCCTATCTCTATTGCACATTGACATTTTACATTTCTATATTTCAGTAAGAGGGTGAAGGAAAGGTAAATGAAGTCAGACTTTGCAGATTTTTAGTCATGTCCTAAAGGACCTTTTGGAGGTCATGAGCATGTGCAACACATCTTTGCATTTCATAAAATCCCAGTAAGGTCATGGGGAAGAGGGACACAAAAGACAATAGTACTTTGAAAGTCTAGTTCTAAAGACCTGTTTTACCATTTCAGTGCATAACTGTCTCTGAAGTGGAAAATAATCTCAGACTAAAACAGAAACAAGAAGGCATCAAGAGAATCAAGTGACAATATCAGATAGCTACAAGAAAACAAGATTGTGCTGGGATTCAAGAAAACTTAGTCAACAAATCTCACTTAGTAAGTTACCCCTATCATCACCCAGTTGAGCATATAGACACTGCAATTACTTGGCAGATTTTTGCCATGTGATAACATACAGCTTGGCACACATGTCATTCAACTAAAATCTAGCCCTGTAGAAACAACTCCTCAACATACGGCAGATCTCTGCCTTTACAAGAAAGGTTATCTTTCTATAACTGACTGCTTAAAGCAAGCTAAATCTTAATAATGCACAAGTGAGAGGTACACACACACACACCCCTATATTTCACTTTGAGAGCTATAGCAATACTCTAGCAATTATTGCTTTCGATTGGTTCTCCTCTACAACAGTGTTGAAGGACATTGCAGTAGTAAGTACACAAATCACGTGTGGTTGCTAGTGAATATTTTGTTGGGTACGCTCTACCCTCTTAATGAAAGAGAAATGTCTCCACGACCCAGAATACTGTAAGCTTCCAGAAATGCAGTCAGATGCTTGACCTCAGGTGGAATGACAGCATCGCCAAGTGCTCTGTCTATAATGCTAAAAAAAAACAAACAAAAAAAACACACACCACAACACACCACACTTGAAATTGCCTTCAATTCAACCTGGGGCAACATGAGGAATTTTTGTGCATGTGCACTCGTCTCCCCTCCCCGCCGCCACTCTCCTTTTTGCACTTGCTTCACACATTATACTAAAAGCATTTTTGGCTGTGTCTTATGAAGTTTCATTTCACCTCTGGTGCATTCACACAGGAGAAGAGCAGTTTCATCTGGTTGGCTCCTCTTGCTTGCATGGTTTTCAGTTCAATATTTCTAGCCTACTTGCTCTGTTTTCATACACTGTACAACAGCTTGTACAGAGAGGAAGTCTGTTCTAAATAAAACATCACACTTTGTAGCAACATTTCTCCAAGTTTAGGATAAATCCTATGAGACTGGATGCATTAAATCAGGAGACATAGGCATCCTGGGTTAGCTCCCACACTAATCACTGCAGAACCTCCAAGTTTAAATAAATAAATTGAATTCCTATTTCCAAATTCAACTGACATGTTTTTGTCTTCTTCATTTTCACTTCACTGTCTAGATGAGGCCAGGGAACAAAAACTGTTTCATCTTTATTCTTTTCACTTGCTACAAATATTAAATGGATTCTAGATTTACCTTAGAGCCTTGCTAACTCCTAGGATACAGGACAGCTTTGGGGGGAAGAAACTCATCATTCTAATGAGTCAAATACAGATCCTTAACATCAATGGAATTACATTAGAGGAGATTGCCTCCTCCCCACCCCCTGCCTCATTCTACCTTTCCAATATTGCTTATATCAACAGGTAGGATCAATAGGATCAATTCTTATTAATATAAGTCCATACCAATGCCAGCATTCACATGTACATGTACACCTTTCACATGTATTTTGTTAATAACTACCAACAAACAAGGCAAGAACAGCACAGGCATAAGGACAAAAGCCCAACGATCCTTTGAGGCTAAGGAAAGATAAACCAGCAGGTTTGCCCAGAAATTTGGTGAACATCAGACATAATTCATATGATATAGCAGAAAATGGATTGATATGCCTGATTTTCCTATCACTGCACCCAAATCACTTTGACACGTAAGTGACAATTTATCCGTTGTCCTCCAAGGAAAGAAGGCAAGAGTAGGTGCATAAGAGTTTACTCCTATCTTTCTGTAATTTTATGAAG